TTAATAGACAGCTACACTCTTAACGTTTTCCTGGCAACCATTTAAATCAAGTTACAAATAAACTTTCAAAAGATTTCATTCAGTAGCCATACAGCTAATTCTTACCTGACGGATTTTGATTTTTACAAAAACCTACCAACTAACAGGTTAAGATAATCTTAACAATTTATATTTCTAGTTAGGTTGGATTGAGAATTCGGTAAAAAGCTGAACCCAGTTGAAAAGCTGCTTCACCTAGGTTTTCCCAATAGGTTCCAATCATTCATAGGACCTGTATTATCAAATCGACAGAGTCAGAATGTCCCTATTAACATAGCATCAATATTCATATATGCTTCTAAGGTACATGATCCCTAATCAACACGAGTGTCATTAAAGATTTAAAAAAAAAAACAAAACAAAACCAAAAGAAACAGCACTTTTCTTTTATTAAAGGCAGAATATTGTATGCTCTGTTGCTAATACTCAACCCCCAAAGAATATTCTTGGTAATAACAGTTTTCTAACCATTCTCTTTCAGGCTTCCAATATCCTGTTTAACACCCTCTATTTCAAAGAACAACCAGCATTTACTACCTCCTTCCTTTCACAAAGGGCCAAAAAACATATGTTTTATCTAAAGCCTAATATTTCCTTCTAATTGCAAACTCAACAGAAGTACCTTTTTAGTTAACTCAGAAAGATCAAACCCTTTTCATGTTAGTCTCTTTAGATATTTCCTATTTAAGTAAGAAAGGGTCAGAAAGGTTTTTAATGACCTGATGGGCCTTCCAGAACAACCAATATTTACAGATATATTTTAGAAGGTCACAACAAAGCAGTCTATTCTCAAACACTGTTAGAATATGACTGCTAAGCTGATCGTACTCTATATCTTAAGTAAACAGAATAATGGACCTCCCATCTGAACTACAAAACTAGTGGCATGCCTCTCTGAAGAATAATACAAATTAGTTATTTCTAAACTGAGGAGTATTAACAACTCTTCAAATCCCTGGAGGGAAAAGTATTACTTTGCTGAATGAGGAAGAAAATAAAACCTTCCCCCTTTTTTGTTTACTTCCTTTTATAACATGTTTACAAGTATTTTATTAACAAAGTATCTATCGGTACTATAATTACTGAAAATGTGATTACTATTTCTGTCAACTTTTTATAAGTAAAAAATATATATTACTAAGAAAAGAATGTTTTCATGTTCTTTTTAGCTTAATTATCCTAAATGCCCACTTTTTCTTTTCTTGAAGCTTAAGGTTACCAAGGTAAAACTCAAGTGTCATTTCAAAAAACAAAATGGTTTTAGGGATAATACTACCCTGCCAATACAGATGCCACACTCATTTACTCATTTAGCATCATTAGCATATAGAGAGCACAGGCTTCAATACCATATAAAAGATCCTTTAGCAATTGAAAAAAAATTCTGCAACTGGAGTAAGAATTCATTTTAAAGTAAGTTTTCATATGAATTCTTTTAGGACAATATTTTCTGAATAAAACATAATAAATACCATGAAAAAATCCTAATCTACTTGGAAAGCCAAAACAGTTATAAAAACAACTGTAATAAAAGAATAAATAGTAAATGCCACAAGACATGAAAATTTAACAAAACATTCAACAAAAAGTGTATTAAATCAAATTTTGGGGGTTATCTTAGAATGTAAATTGAAACATATTCAATGTTTATGAAATAATGGGGCATAAAAGTTATAGAAGCTTTTAGACCTTCTATTGTATCTTTTAAATATTGGCTTCATTTCATACTAATATCAGAGGTAAAGAAAACTACAATATCCTCAAATTTTCATAATATTCTAATGGAATTTAGTGATAATATTCTAATAGAAGAGAGCTCTTCAAGCCAATTTTTATATTATATTCCTTATGCTAAGATTTCTCCATAATAGTAATACCAAGAATACGTAAGCTAATGTATCTCCTCAATAGGGAAAAAGCTATAATGATTAAGAGGTATAGAAATAAGTGGACAACATTAAGAGAGATTTGTTCTGAGCTTTAGGTCTGAGTCTACTAAGCAAAAAATAAATATTGCTAGTCGTGGCCCCACGACAACAAGAAAACAAGTATTAATTTATCAGTCATCTGCTTTCTGTGGATGATCTGTAGATCTAAATTACCTGGAAAACATAACTGTGTTAGCTATTGAAGATCAACAAGGATTTAGTGACATCAAATACAGACAAACAGGTTCAAACAATGCTGAGAGGACAAATTACCGAGGGATTAAATTATAGATCTAGCATAAAGATATTGGAAATGTCTTAATTTTTTGTAATAGAAAGTTGTTAACTGTGCAACAAACACACTAGAGAAAATGTATGACATGTAGAAATTATCTCATGCATAAAAATATTACAAAACCTATTTCAATGTTAGCAAAAAAATTAAGAAATAACTACTTGAGAAGCACTCTTGTTATTGTCGTATATATAATGGATAGTTAATAATCAGTATGAATCACTATACTACATTTTTTAAATGATACAGATTAAGACTCACAATATACCTTAGTTCCAAATTACAAGAACGGTGATTACAAATATCAAGTATAGACTAAGTAAAAAGACAAAATTTATATCACTGACTCTTCAAAAGGAAAAAGTGTAAGTGTAAATCTACAAAGGATCCAGTAGCAAATTCAGGTGTGATAACAAACGTAGCTTCACAGTCCTTATATTATCAACTTAGCCAAGTTAAGAAGACAAAATAGTTAATAAAAGTAACAATATTAAAATACATGGTATTAGAACCGTAACAATACCAACAAATCATTCTCTGAAACAATAATGGCCTTAACAGTGGATAACATGAAGCATCCACATAAATAAAAATACATTTGTAAGCCCCATGTAGAAATTTTTTATACATGCAAAGCCCTGGTGAAAGAAAAGTGGCACACTAAACTTCATTTAAATAAAGTCAATTTCCATCAAAACAGACTGGGGGTTTTAGGTATACCAGCTGATCTAAAGGTTTGGCCTTTATTCAGAAACTGATATTTCTATATATTAATACTTACCATAAAACCTGGAAACTGTCCTCTAAAGAGAGATTATTGAAATATGCTTAAAGTGCTATTGAGTCAATCAGCATCCTATTTATCTGTGACTTACAAAAATAGAAAGAAAATACCAATTAGGGTATTTCTCTTTTTTTAACCGCTTCATAAGAAAATTTATATTATGAACAACCTTAAATGCTCTTGGGAAGTAGATAAGGTAAAGATTAAAGAAGACAGTAAGTCATTACAAATATACAAAGAGATATAAATAGAATAATTCAGAAAAAATTTAAACTATTGATGAATGTATTGATTCACTTCCTAAAATACTTACATCCTCTTTTCCAGTAAACAACTTAAAAAGCACCCATCCCAGAAGCAAACTTTTCAGTTAGTTTTCTGGGACTGCAACACATCATTCCATCCCTAATTATGCTGTAGAGTTAGCTGAATATCAACTATCCATTCCAAAGCAGATCCATGACAAGAAGCATATACTAGTAACTGATATCAAAGTTTTTCCAGCGGATATGAAGAAAGCAGTACACTAAATGAGTATCAATTTATAGCAAAATTTTCAACCTGTGTCACAGTATAAATCACCAACCAATGACAAATCTACAAAGCTGGGCTTCTCCAAAACCACTAAAAAACTGGTGAAAAGAAGTGGAATTCACTATCGACCTACTTGCCGCGAGTCAGCTGAAATTCCATAAAATCACAAGCCAATTCCCAAATATTCAGCAAATGCTGCATTTATCAACAGCATACATGTGTGTTACACAGAGACACACAAACTACATGCTCACCAAGCCGCAAATTATCTAAAGAAAAAGGCTTACAGCATAAAATACAGAATCCATTACCTTTTTCCTTCCTTCAAAACCAAATACGTAGACAATGAATAAGCCAATACAACTAAAGTGAAGACCACAGTACGATTTCACCCTCTCCCACCATAAAAATAAAAACTGTAAAAATTAGGGTTTCAAAAACATGTCCATCAGATTCAAAGATAGTTCAATCCTATAGCCATCACTTACCTTCTTCTCTAAGGCTGCATATACATTAAAATGGGTATGATATTCATGCCCAATGTCATGTATAATATTCACTACAAATGCTTGCTCTCAAATGTTTAGAAGTAACATAATAAATCTTACTTAATGCAAACATAATTGAAATTAAAGTTAAAATCATGGCTATCCTGAACTCCTATTTTAAACCTTAACAGAAATTAACCAATAACAATAATTCTTCAAATCAAAATATTTTAATAAGAAAGTAAATGTATAAGAAAATAGTGTAAAAATATTTGTACGAATTTATTCTTTTAGTAAACAAAGAAAACCTTATTTAAATTAGGTTCCCTCTTTTAAAAAAAAAAGCATGATAACCCATACTGTAACCACTACTCTAATCAACGGACACCCAGTTACCATACACTATTTGCTGGTGGAAATACTTTACAAACTGCTCTGTCAAATTTTAAACTAAAATACTTTCTTTTAGATAATTTCTCATTACATAAATACCACATTTCAGAAGATTTGCAAATCACTATCAGATTTTTTATCTCTTCATTTATATCTTTTGCAAAGTACAAATTTCTTTTAAGTTTCAACTCTCACATAGACACCTCTGTTCTGTATCACTACCAAAAAAGCAAAAACCTAAAGAAAACTTAATTGTACAACAGCAATAATTTCCTGCACACCAAACTGACCATTCAATTAAAACCTTCCAAATCACACCTGGACTCTACAACAGACATACACGTAAATGAAACAGACTTACCCGGGACTACAGAGCTCCTGACAATTAAGCCTAAAATAATTAATAAATCACAAAATGTACGTGAAATGTAGAAACTTCTCTCCCGCATCATGATATAAAGTAGAACAAACAGAAACAACAGCTCTTTCTAAAAATCTTTAACTCATTACTTTTCCAAATCAGCACATTAATGTCTTACTGGTAAACTTGATGGTCTTTCTTGTTGTATTAAGTTCAAGTCTTCATGGTTTGGTTTTCCGGGGGCCAGAGGAGGTTGAGACCTAGTTCCATAGCCTTCCTGAGACATGTCCTAAGCAAACACAAATACAAAAAAAAGCACTTCATAAATATCTCAATGACATTAACTTCTTCAGTAACAAAAATGAAGCAAAGGCTTATCACAAACTATCAACTAATGTTATTGATACATTTTAGTAGACAAATAAATATAGTTTATGATTTAACGCATTACCAAAAGTAAAATTTTTTAAAAAAGCAGTGAATCACCAATAGCAGAAGTATACATGTACATAAAGTTAAAAATTAAATTTATTATGAGACCAGACCATACAAACTAAGTACTGTATTTGAGTTTTGCAGGAAGATGACTAAGTCAATAAAAAATGGGGAAGGAGGTCAGCTGTAGCCAAAGTGTCTTTGAAACCATAGCAAACCAAAAGCTCCTTTCATTGTTGAATTCTGATTTTGTTTTGTTTAATTCTGATTTTGATTAGGCTGCCTTTAATGTTACTTCAAAAAATTTAAATAACTAATGAAAGCTTTATTATCAACTGAATATTAATATGTCTTCTCAATTACCCACAATACAGCATAAATTTGTATTAAGCTCACAGAATCTTGGGGTTTCTACAAAACCAATAAACACATATGTATAGGTCTCCATATGTTCACATGGCATAGTTTTCAGAGAACCATAATGAAAAATAAAACAACAGTAGGGAACAAAACATATCCCAAAAAACATGAATAGGGACAAGAAACTTATCATTAACACAACCTTTCTGGCATCTTTCCAGGAGGTATTCTATGTGGTTTCAGCATTGTGCTGAGATAGTATTACATAACCTAAACACCTCACCATACCACATTCACTGTATACCAGATCTCTAGTTGCTTAACGATTTATATTCAGCTACTAAACATTCCACCATCATTTGCACCTGAAGTCAAATAGCAGGACAGAATGTTAAATACTTATTATAGCACGTCTCAATTGGCACTGAAAGTTGAAGAACCAGTTTCTAATTGGAGAGAAAAAAAAGAATGGAAAATACTGCTTTAAAATAAAATTCTCTCCCTTTCCTTGCAGTTCGAATATGTGTTGGCACTAAAGAAACATGATATACAAGTTCTACTTCTGTTAAATCCCTAAAATATTACTCTAAAAATTAATATTTATTAGTTGAAACCCTATAAAAAGCTTCCGATGTCCCATCCCTTTTCTAACACAGTATACACTTAAAATTACATGGCTTCTTAAGCCAAGAAACTTTGCACCAATAGCTGGTACTACAAAGTACACAAGCTGTGCAAACTAGATTTAACTAGCTGAGTGTGGGTGCAACCTGCCTTTATAAACAGGCTGTGAAATAAAGGAGCATGCCAACAATCCAGCATTTTCACATGCAACTATTCTTCGCTTTAAATTAATCTCCACCCGCACCCCAAAAATTAAGCAGATACTTAACCTCCAATAGTAATATATGATACTTAGTCAATATTATACTTTTGTAAGCAAATTCAATCCTAGTTGTACAGGTTTTTATTTGATAACAATAAAAGTGAGGTAAGAGTAAGCACATGCAATCCAAGGATACTTAAAAGGGTAGCTCTTCAGTCTGGTTGCCAGCAGAGGGTAACAATTAGGCTTGTGGGGGACAAAAGCAAAGGCTAAGAGATTATTACCACTCTCACCACCACCCCTCCTTCAGCACCATGTTTCTTCCAGATCCTAGACTGCCACTTGTCACATGGACTTCCCGCTGGGTGCCCTATAGGTTCCTTTCCATAAACAGCAAGGATTTCAAATTAAGTAGGGCAAAAGGCCTCCATTCAGGGGCCTTCACCCTGTTACAAAAAAGCACAAAAGTGCAGGACAGCCTCACAATGGGTGAACAAAGGAGCAGACCCTGCCTCTTCCTCAAACACGTGCACACACACAGTTTATGGGCAGTGCTTAGACACTTTTTTTGTTAAAGTTTAAACTTCAGTTAGGAAACAGTAAACAGGCTTGCAGGTCCTATGCTTATTACTCATTTATCTTACATTTCTTTCTTCTTAGCTAAATTAACTGCTTTTTAAAGGAGTTGAAAAAGACCACCACAATTACAGTGGATACACATTTCAATTTAGGTATCACAATCCCCCACCCCCAAAATAAGCAATTCCAAACAGACCATGAAATCTATCAGAAAGATGTACTATGATGTTACATTTCACTTTTTCGGGTTTTATTTATTTATTTATTTATTTTGAGACAGAGTCTCACTCTGTTGCCCCGTCTACAGTGCCCTGGCATCAGCCTAGCTCACAGCAACCTCAAACTCCTGGGCTCAAGCGATCCTACTGTCTCGGCCTCCCGAGTAGCTGGGACTACAGGCATGTGCCACCATGCCCGGCTAATTTTTTCTATGTATTTTTCGTTGTCCAGCTAATTTTCTTTCTATTTTTAGTAGAGACGGGGGTCTCGCTCTTGCTCAGGCTGGTCTCGAACTCCTGAGCTCAAATGATCCTCCTGCCTCAGCCTCCCAGAGTGCTAGGATTACAGGCGTAAATCACCATGCCTGGCCACTTTTTTGGGCTTTAAAAGTTCAAAATGAATAGATTCCACCAAAATCTCAAATACTATTCCTAACCACAGAAACTTTCAATTATTAAATATAGTTGTAAATAAAACCTAAACAAAATTTTGTGAGAATCGCTGAAAAGGGAACTTGTTCTGACTCAGTTTATGTTTGAACATAAGGATTCACTTAACAAAGAGAGCACAGAGAAAAGGTACCAAGTTATACCTAAAACAATCATCATCTATATATAATTTACCATGGGACTGTGAAGTCTGTTTGGCAGGTCTATTGAAGATACAAAAGTTATATTCCACAACAAACTTTAGCTTTTTCAACTTCAAAGCTATATTTATTTCTTGGTTTTGGTATGCACTTATTTTCATCTTAAGAAGTGTAAACAGAAATAAGTAAGGTAACAGACAATAAGAAAACAATGTAAGTGTCAGAAAATAAAAAATATGTTTAGCATCGTTTTATAAACAAATATGCACAGCTTTAAATTTTAAAACATTATTTCTATCTTTGGTTATTTATACATTTAAGCTAGTATTCACTAATGTGTAAACTAGTACACACATATAAATAATTATCATGTTTATCTGCCATACATTTAAAAGTCATGCCTCTTTAAAAGAAAATCAGACTGTAATAATATTGTGTAATGCACAAGAACCAAGATATGAGAATGTGGTTTTCCCTTTCAGAGAAACTGTTTTATCAGTACTATTTTGCTACACTTCACCCACAAACTTTTAATCATTGATGGGCTCTGGTCTTAACCTTCTTTATGTCATGAGTCAAAGGTAAAAAGGAAACTGACTCAGCAGAAGTGTTAAAAGAGTTTGAGGCAGGGGAGTGTACACACTTCTTTCAGAAATTTTCACTTAGATGTTTCCTTTATTAGGTCATTAAATATGAAATGTCCAATTTCATTTTTTTTTTTTTTTTTTTTTTTTTTTGAGACAGAGTCTCACTCTCTTGCTGGGGCTAGAGTGCAGTGGCATCAGCCTAGCTCACAGCAACCTCAAACTCCTGGGCTCAAGCAATCCTCCTGCCTCAGCCTCCCGAGTAGCTGGGACTATAGGCATGTGCCACCATGCCCGGCTAATTTTTTCTATATATATTTTTTTAGTTGTCCGATTAATTTCTTTCTAATTTTAGTAGAGACGGGGTCCTGCTCTTGCTCAGGCTGGTCTCGAACTCCTGAGCTCAAACAATCCCCCTGCCTTGGCCTCCCAGAGTGCTAAAATTACAGGCGTGAGCCACCGCGCCCGGCTGAAATGTCCAATTTCAAATCAAAAGTTTAGTTCATTATATCTCAAACAAGAAGCAATACAATTAACCAAAGTATGTGAAGGGAACTTCTCAAACCATCGATGTACTGTGCGTTCATTAGCCACATCCTACCCAAACCCTTCACTGATATTTCTAGCTGTCTGTGCAGTATTGGTTCCATCATAGTTGAAAAATAACACGAAGTTTTGACTTAATGGTTCACAACAGTTGCTCTAAAAAAAATTTTGAAAGATAATCAGAAGCCAAAAACCATGCATTTGAAATAATGAAGATTTACCTTCACAATAAAAATAAAAACAAAAAGTTTCAAAGTGAAATTGTCAGAGATATCAACTGTCAAACTTAGCACATAGGGAAATTGGACATTCCATACTTAATGACCTAATAATACATATAGTAGACATTTACTGAATGCCTACTATGATCATTCCCTTTGCCAGGTACATTAACATATCACAGTATGAAACAGAGGAAAACACTAGTGTCACACTTCTATTATAAGAAAGGATAAGATAAAAACTACCACAAGGGCCTTATAGGAAGACCAGGAGCATGAATGCTTCTGTTTTCTTTTTTTACAAAATGAATTAAATATTAATGGAAACATGAGACTTCGAAGAAAATGTCGAAAAACTAAAATGTCAAGGCTGCTTTAAAATTAAAAGGGAAAACATTCTTATGGCATAAATTTGAAAGATACCCATTACTGGGCATCTACCCAAAGGAACAAAAGATATTCTATAAAAAAGACATCTGCACTAGCATGTTTATAGCAGCACAATTCACAATTGCAAAGATGTGGAAACAACCCATGTGCCATCAATACATGAGTGGATTAATAAAATGTGGTATATGTATACCATGGAGTACTACTCAGCCACAGAAAACAATGGTGATCCAGCACCTCTTGTATTATCCTGGATAGAGCTGGAGCCCATTCTACTAAGTGAAGTTATCACAAGAATGGAAAAACAAGCACCGTATGTACTCGCCATCAAATTGGTATTAACTGACTTAACTGACGAACACTTATGTGCACATATAAGAGTAACATTTATCAGGTGTCGGGCAGGTGGGAGGGGGGAGGAGGGGATAGGTATATTCACACCTAATGGGTGCAGTGCACATTGCCCGGGGGATGGACATCCTTGAAGCTCTGACTCGGGTGGGGCAAAGGCAATATATGCAGCCTAAACATTTGTACCCT